TATTAAAAAGGTATCAAATACATTACTAAGTGTTACAAACATAAAATTAAGGATTATATGGTGAATTACCATATTCACTTAGTCATTTGTTGTTGAAGTTGCCTCAAAGTCCCGTAATTATTCTTGTTTCAACATACAATAATCAATGATCACAAAAAATACAAATATAGCAATGTATTTTCATTTATTTGTTTATTATAGCATCCTATTTTCATTTTTTCTACCATATCATAGTTATTTTTCAAGTTTTTTCTTATTAGCAAACTATAATTTGAAAAATCTACCCAATTATAGGAATGAAAATTGCTTTGTATTTGGATGACATTGCCATAACTAGGAACATTTTTGAAAGTACAATGCTATAAGTAACACGAAATGAAATTAGGAAATTATAATAAGCATGTATATGAATTTTTTTTATTCTATCTTGCATTTTACCCAAAAAAGTATGTTGTCATATGGTAATAAGTAGATGTTATAAGAAACAAATATACGAAAGTATGATGCTATATCTAGCATTTAACACAAAAAAATAATAATTTGGTAATAAGTGGCATATCTTATGATAACCTAGACATTCAGTGGGTCATTGTCTTCACAAAGAGTACTTGGATGAAGCCATAACTATCAGGATACACAATTGATAAATTTAGGACGTGATCCACCTGATAAATCATGTATTAGAAAATTACCCTAAAAATAAATATTAGTTAGACTTTTCACGATACTTAATAAGAACAACTCAAAATTACATTGTTCTAGTAGAACTAGAAAGAAATGAAAGTAAGAAGTTATAATAAACGAGTGAACGAAAGTATGTTGCTATTTCTTGCTGCTAGCCCTAAGAAAAAAAATTGAAAGTACATTGTTATAACAACTAGAAGTACCATGCTATAACATACAGCTAAAAAATGTACCTTGTTATTTCTTTCATTTAGCCTTAGTTTTGACATCTAATTCCACATGTGTGAAAGGTCCACTTTTAGGCCGAAGATTTATTGTCCTACTAGACGAAGCTTCTCATAATTTATATTTCGAAAGAGTCTTCAAACATTTTGTTCGGGTTTGATACAATAAATCCTCTTTCTTATAAAAAAAACATGTTAATCTATATTTATTCGACACCCTTAACCAACTTAATGTTGTTAGTGCTCCTGGTCCTACAAAATACATTAACTCCACATGAAACATGTTCAAATAGTTGTCAAAAGTAATCTGTTCAACCCTAGTGCATTTTTCAACTTACATGGAACTAAAATATAAGAAATTCTAACCTCAAAGCACATAAACGCATATATTAACTAGCTCAATTTGAAAATTATAGTAGAATTAGGGGTTAGACTATCATTAAAGTCATTACAATGGATTTGAATGAATGCCTGTAATTCCAAACTTTCTCAATGGTTCAAACTAATTGAATGCTTATTATTTCCTTCCTCTAAAAATCATAATATTATAAACTACACTTAATTATTATACATATTAATTTGGGTGTCGGCTTATAAACAGTTCTTGGCATTGAGTGGGCTCTCACATCACCCTGTTTCAAGCCATAGTTGCGTGGTAGGCACCTCCATCATCCTCCAATCGAATGTCTCCTCTGATGTATTTCTCACGTCGTTGGATTTACTTTGCTTATTCAGTCAATAAATTTGTGTTTGCCATCCATGTCTTTTCCACCGCTTTGTGGCATGTGAAAGGATAATATGTTATCTAATATCCCCTAGCAGTTATATCAGGATATTTATGGTTGTTTAAACCCATAAAATGCATTTATGAAGATGTTCACGTATTGATATTCATAAGGAACATGGAGAACCCACACAATGGTGATTTAAACTTTCTAGAGTATGAAATGGATGTCAATTTCAACATGTTTATTACACTGATGATTAATCGGGTTCTTAGATAGGTAGACTGCATAAACATTATCACAATATATGAGAGTTGCAACGCAGATGTTGATACTAAGTTCACCTAGAAGATTTGTAATCCATGTTTCGGCAACGACATTAGCAACCCCTTTATACTCAGCCTGAACACTAGATCTTTAGATTGTGGGTTCTCGTTTGGATGACCAATATTTGAGGTTTTCACCTAAAAATACACACTAGCAGGATATGGAAGGCCGTGAGATAGGGCAACCCCAAGTTTGCATCGGTATATGTAGTAAGTTTCAAAGATTTATTTACATGAAAATGAAGACCAATGTGAATAGTTCTTTTAATGTATCGGAGGATTCTCTTGAGGAACTGAAAATGTGGTTCTCGTGGACCATGCATGAACAAGAAAACTTGTTGAACAATGTAAGTAATGTCAGGGTGAGTGAGTGTGAGGTATTGGAGTGCTCCCGTAAAGTTGCGGTATGTGATACTGTCGATTAGAAGTGGTCCTTCAGTGGCACTAAGTTTAGATCTCGTATCGATGGAAGCGTTCATTGCTTTACATGCAGAGATATTGGCGCGTCCTAAAATTTATTTTGCATACTGTGATTGTGACAAGAATACACTTGTGGCAGAACGAGTGGCAGTGATGTTGAGATAGTATTACAATGTGTCTAAACCAGTTATAGCAAATTTAGTGGACAATGTGTTGATAATCTGTTGGAGTAATGTGGCATCAAAGGTTGTTTAGATGATATCATCCACATACAGTAGTAAGTACGCAATAGTTATACCCTTGAGATAAATGAACAACGAGTGGTCGCAAATGTTACGCGTAAACTCCTTTGAGATGATGAAGCAAAAACATTGGAGCCTCCCTTTAAAGACATTGGAGATTGACCCCATACATTACAATACACAATATCAAAAGGAACAAAGGAATAAGAGAAACTTTTAGTAAAGGGTAAAGGAAAAACATTGGCACATTAGTAACCACTATAATCACAAATATCACCAATATTCAAATGATCCAGAACATCTAGACTAAAATTGTAAACATGAATCCAACACATGTCTCAAACGAGAATGCCAAAGATAAAAATTAGAAGATGAATAACTCAACAGAAAAGAAGACAAATCAACATTGGAGGCAACAACATCCGAAACTTGAAGTTGATTTACAGATATAGTCCCCAATCCTATAGTCAATCCTAACATCCTCTAATATAGTTGGTCCTATACACAACAATAGTTATATTTACGCAACTAACTGGACGAGGCAAGGTTTAAGAAATTTTGGGAATATAGTATACATCAGTGAGAGAAACGTGAGGAGTAGCAACAAAACCCATACCCTTCATTGGTATGGATGCGGCAATGACATACATAAACTAAATAAAGGAACCATAAGACAAAGAAACAAATGATGACAAGCATGGTGAGGGCCAACTATCCCACAAATTAGGCATAGCATAATAAAAATCTTGGACGCTCATGGTGATCATTTGAAGTGTCTAGATATCAGTCTATAACTGATATTGTTCAACAAAGTTAGACTGAGTGTGCAGCCTTTTCAAGTGCTCCCAAACTTTCCTTGTTGTATTAAATTTTGTCAATTAGGTGTCAATAGACTGGACCACAAAGTTATTAATCCAAGTGATAATATTAGAATTATCAGTTTCCCAAGCATCAAGTAACATTACAAAATGGAAGCTTTATCATTTGTTAGTTTCGCTTTAACACCAATAACAATAACCCATATTTTTTTACCCTTCAGAAAAATTTTCATCACATAACTCCAATATGCATAATTTTTGCCATCTAGTTGTATGCTAATAGACTCTAAATCTTTGGGAGCCATATCAAACCCAAGAGGACACAAACAACATATTCCAATGATAACGAAAACAAACCAACACTAATAAAACAAACGAAAGAGTTACTAGACCAAATGAACAAAGCTCGTTGATCGTTAAACAATACCCCCCCCCCCCCCCCCCCCGACTATTGATAGATCTAAATGCAAGAATTGAATAACTCTCTGATACCATATTGAATGGATAATAGAGACATAAAAAGTAGTTAGGGTTTTATTAAAGAAAATGTAATTACAATACAAAAGAAATGACCATTACATATAGTAAAAGCTATCTAGGGTAAACCTAGCTAGAAGGCTAAATAAATTCCCAACATAAAATAAGCCCAATACTTTATTAGGCTAACAATATGTAATAATGATGCATACAAAGTTAATACTTTATTATGCTAACAATTTGTAATAATGATGCATACAAAGTTAGGGGGCTTAAGTTCGCCATTGTATACAACAACAAAAACAAAACCCATGTCATATAGGGATGGAGTGAGGGAAAGGTAAGATTGCTTCCATAGACGATGACCTTAGTTTGTGACGTAGAATAGTTAAATGATTGCGTTAACCACGTATATACTTGTATGCTCTTTATTTTCTTCACATATCTTCTTATTGCTAGTGTGTCATTTGTTACCCTAACACTTTCTCATTGGCGCTCTTTGGATTTGCCATTGTATCTTGCTTATTATTCAGTGTAGTACATGATGTAATTGACATAATTAATATAGGGATAGAGTGAGGGAAAGGTTGTCAAATGAAGATTAAATTCTTTCGAATATTAGTTCCCATTCGTCGGTTGGCAAATAGTACTCCGTTGAATAATTTCGTTTTGAAAAATAATGTTTTTTTTTGTTATTTATGCTTATTTTCCTTTCGACAGTTGTCAAATAATTTAATTTAGTGAACCCTAAATTGCTAAAACTATAGAAGGGCTAAAATGTCTTACTTTATTATTATTATTTAAAAAAATAATATAGAAAATATACAATATAGTTTTTAATTAATTATTAATGAAATTCGGTTTTCATTTCGTTCTGATGTAAATTTTATGAGACCAAAACTCGAACCAAAAACCAAAGTTATAATTTGGTTTGTTCACGGACCAAACCAAAAAGCGAATTTAAATATGGTTTTATCTGAAATCGAACAATTTATTAGGGTTTAGTGTGTTAGAAAAGGATAGGTGATGCAACATATAAAATTTTATTGTTTCGATTTAAAATTGAAATTTGTAATTGTTTTTGGTTAATTATAAAAATTGGTAGACCAGAAATATACACAAATATACACACCCCTGTAGATGTTGATACCAACTCTCACTTGTTACTGTGGGTACTTGTTATTATCCCACAGATGCACAAACCTGCATATACCTGTACATAGATATTCACAAATTCTTTTAAAAGAAAAAATATGTAAAATGAAAATAGAAATAAAAAGAGAAGAAAATGACAACTATAAACTAAGCCAAACTTGTACCGTTAATATGCTCACATCTACCGTAACATTAATAATTAGATGTTTCATTACTGAATTTATATGAAGAAGCACTACATTAGAAAAGAACTAATAAGAAAATTGACCAAAACACTACATCAATTAAGAACAAAAGATATGAACATCAATCAACTGAGGATGCGAATTTCAGAAATTGAATAAAAGAAAACAAACCGAACAAACACAATGATTTACATGGTTCAACCGACATTTACGATTCTTGTTAAGTCTATGGGACAAACTGTATATCTCTATTACAAATTATATAAAAATTTGAATTTGTTTATAAAAAATTGCAATAATTTAAATATGCTCTCTTATCTTCTAGCGCATCTTGTCTATAGGACTATAAGCTGAAACAACACATTTGAAATCCCTACCCAAATCAGATCACACTCACATAAAGATCATGCCTCTCACACACACACACACACATACAGATCAGATCACACACAAATATACAGACAGAAAAAAATGAATTTACTTTGCTATTTCTTTCATTTGGCGCTAACATTTTAACATATTGGCAAAAAAATTAAAAATATAAGTTGGGGGGGGGGGGGGGGTGTACTGGGGTTTACATGCAAACCAACTTCAGAGCTAAAATGCACCCCAAAATATATAACCTGAAGCTACTCCTTTTTCTCATTAAAAAGAACAATGTATTTCATCTCTTGTGCTCGATTTTCAAGAAACCACGTGAAAAGCAAATTACAACCCATTTTTTAAAGTTGTTGCTCGTTTGTATAAATTATAATTGGTGAATTTTGCAAATTATAATCCCAACAAAGGAGTAATAAAAGTAAAATCTTGTGATGTTCAAATAAGTTAAAGTATGTTGCTATCATCAATTAAAATGACATGAATTTTCATAAATATATTTTAAGAAGTGAAGTAGGATGTCATTATGTACAAATAGGTTAAAGTATGTTGCTATCATTCAATTAAAATGACATATTTCATAAAGATCTTTTTTTTCTTATCTTCTTATTGAGTTGTACCGACTTACAGAGGGTGTATGTGGTATTTTGGCATATTTTTTCTAGTTTGAGAAAATTGTCTAATCACCTTGATAAACTCGCATTCACCAACAACTACAATATCTGACAATAACAATCTCGTTTTCTGCATTTTTCTAAAAGTGTTAAAAAATATAAGAATCTCACTATAAAGCAAAATGGAAATAATACCTACAATTTATAACATTCCACTTTCTTTTATATGTTCAATATAGAATCCCATTTTCAATTTTTTTCTAGTTAAAAACTCACTATTAGAGTCCTCAGTTTCACTGGTGAAGCATCTCTTCTTCAACTCCATGGTAGGGTGAATTAACAATTCTTGTAATTCTTTTTCTCAACCAACTGTTTTAAATTGTTTGAGACGTTGGAAAATCATCATTATAATCTATTAATTAAGGAACAAAACACAATCTAAATTAAATCCACGAATTCACAAGTATGCATATGTTACTAACCCAAACAGGATAATTGGAATCACAGACAAACTTGGTCCAACAACATAGGCATTAATTAATTAAAATAAAGAACAACACAAGAATAATAAATTAAATATAGTATAGCCAAGGATTGCAATAGAGAAAGAACAAATGCAAAAATTTCACACATACTTAAACAAACAGTTTGTATGTTTAGTTTACCTTTATAAACCAAACAACATCTGAATGTAAAATCCAAGCCATCAACAATTTCAAGGCTTAGTAATATTGATTTCCCTACATGGGTGGTGGATTTCAACCTCAAAATTAATAAAAATGAATTATTTTTGGTAAAAGAATATCTTCCTTCTTCCAAATTACATCAATAATGGTTAATTGACAACAAAACGAATAAGAACAAAAGAAATCAACATGAAATTACCAACAATCAAATGCCAAGCGTCCGATCTGGAATAAGGGGAATGTGTAATCCTCTCACAATCAATCTCTTCAAGTTCTGAATGAAGAATTTTGAGAAGCCAGTTATTCCAGAGTATATCCTTCAGCTGTATTCCTGAATCAATTAGGCGTTGAACCCGTGAATAAATGTTACAGAAGAAGTCAAATTTGAAAATTGATCCATTAAGACACAACTGATTTTAGTAGAAATACAGACCCTTATAAATCACACAAAACTTTTTGAAAGGATATGAAAGAAATCATAGAAAAAACAGAAGAAATAAGAGATGTTTGTGATAAGTATTTGAGGAAAATCAAAATCGTACCAATCTATTGAACTAACTCCCGATCCAAACCCAAATCTTTAAGATTCTGATTAAAAAAAAAGAAGGGATCGTCTGTGTGGTGGTTTTTTCGACAGATCAAGGGTGGGGATTCGTCGCCAGAGAACCGGTGCGAGGGCAGATAATGCTTGGAGACGGTGATAAGAGGCGCTCTGAGGCGGTTTGTGGTGCAATGGCCAGATTAATGATCCTAAAACAAACACAACAATTGTTAACCAAACAAATAAAACCTAGTGGTTAAGGCGTTTCCTTTGATATCTCTTTATAATCAAAACCCTAAATTAGAAAAACCACAATACAAATCTGACTAATCTGACTGAACAATAGTTTCAAAGAAAAAATCAAAATCATTTACACTCATAACCATTTACTTTTAAGGCGAAACAATCAGGTTTAGAGTAAATGTATTACCTTTTCCAGTGAGGACCATACCAGGGATACCATCAACGCTTGGGCGCCGGTTGCTGGCGGAAGTGGGGGCAGCAACGACGGTGGTGTCAGTGACGATGTGTGGTGGTAAGATGTTTGGGTAGAGAGAGAGAGAGAGAGAGAGAGAGAGAGAGAGGCAACGATGGATCATCGTGTGGAATCGTTACCGAAAAAGTAGTGCGAAGCCAGAGAGATGGTGGAGACGACGGTCAGGTGGGTTGTGGAGGTTGGAAAGTGGATTGTGGTTCACTGTTGGTGCGATGGCAGGGGTAGTTTTTTTTAGGAACATTGTAAAATGATTCACAATAAAATTTCCAAAAAAAAATCTTTATAATTCATTTTTAAGTAAATTAAGAAAAAAATTACTTTTATAACAATTTTAGTGAATAACAACAATATCATTGTAAAAATGAATCATCGAGATGTTTTTTTGAGAATTTTTTCTTGTGAATCATCTTACAAATGAATCATCTAATGATTCATTTTGTTCGTTCGCGAAAAAAATATGTAGAAAAAAAACTTCTAACCTTCCTACCAAAAATTTCATTCTTATTTGATCTTGACTCTATATATATATATATATATATATATATATATATATATATATATATATATATATATATATATAGAGCTAGGTTCAGGTATTTAAAATAATTATTGTGTTATTGTATGCATAAATGTGGGCCAATCAAAATTAAATAATTAAATAAATAAATAAGGGTAATTTAGTAATTTGTTTAATAACTTCCAAAAATAATCCCTATAATCATGGTATTGACTTTTATTAAATCTCGTTCCCCCCTTTATATAAAAACCGATTTCTGAAAACCATAAATTGAGCGACAGGAGCGAGCGACGGTGAGAGTTACTTTTTTGGCCGTGCACAAGAACGGATATGAATCTGCACCGTTTTCATTCTCGAGTTGTCCGGCAGATGTGAAGGGTTACTTCTTGGCCAAAATATCATCGTCAGAGCTTCTAAAAAATGATCTCTGGGAGGTAACTGAGTGCAAGTCTTTCCTTGAGAACTCACCATGGACAGGCTGCAAAGTTCCTGAAGACACAAATGGAGGAATCACGGGTGCTCATCTTAATTGATTTCTTTAATTTTTTGTGATCACACGAAGATGCGACTTGTAAGATTTAATATTTGATGTTGATTTTTTTTTAATTGAATTTGTCCTTTAAACATGAAACAATATATATTTGTGTTCAAAGTTTAAGTATCTAAGATCATTTTTTCACACCACAAAATTGATTTTGTTATAATTTTGTAATAATATTATTTATTTTGTTATAATTTTGTGATAATATTATTTATAAAGGTATTGTCATAAAAAAGATGGAATACATAATTAATTGTTAAAAGCAAAGTGAGTGTTACATGCCCTACAAACGTTTGCAGGTATGTACACCCAGATATAATCTTGAAGTTGAATATGTTTGCTTGCTGTAATTTGTTTTAACTCTGTGTACGTGTATCTATTATTTGAGATACATGCTTATGTATATTTAGATTCTGCCCACCAACTGTTCGCTGAAATGCTTGAATGAAACAGTTCCTCTATTTTCATCCAAACAGAAAGACAAACAGTTCCTCTAATTTTGTTGGCATTTGTTCACGAATTGTATGAAATCACGAATCCAATTCTGTTGGAATGGAATCATGAATTCTAATTCTGTTGGAATGGAATCACGAATCCATTTCTCTTTAATGGTTTTTGCGTGACTTTATTTTGGTTTGCTTGAATTTTATCTTATATTGTTGGTTAATAATGATCAAGTGTTGAATACCATTATTTTTTGTACGTACGAAACGAGAGATATCAAAGCAAAACATGGTACATATGAAACTTACAACATTCTACTGGAATGGAATCTTGAATTCTGATTCTGTGAGAACAAAATCTTGAAGATGAACATTGTATGGGATGAAGATGAACAATGACCACCAATCTTCCAAAAAGAATGGAATATTCTACCAAAATAATATACAATATAATGAAAAAAAATATATGTAATAGTATATTCTGGTAGAATAATTCATATATTGTGTTTTTTGTGTTATTAATAAGTGTAACATTCGCATAGAATAATATATAATTTTTTTTTCTTTTCTAAGAATGTAATGAAATTTTTTTTAACTTGTATCCAAATTTTTGTTACTATTCTTCAAGAAGTTCATTAAATCAAAATATATATTATGTCAGAATGTGTAATTCTTGTATGGTTCAATCATATTTGTTATTTTTAAATATATTGATAAACATATTCCGTCAGAATTTTCGAATTAGGAGAATTATCATCCATACAATCAGATTTTTAAAATTAATAGAATCTATTTTCCTTAAAATATGTAATTTTCCTTTTTTAAATTTATGTTAATTGACTAAAATACCCTTAGAATGAAATTAGTTGGTATTTTTTAATTATATTTAATTTAATAATATGTATTATTCACTTTCCAAAATTAAGTAAAATGATTGGCCCACAATTATGCATACAATAACACAATACTTAGTTTGAATAGAATAACCTAAGCCTATATATATATATATATATATATATATATATATATATATATATATATATATATATATATATATATATATATATATACACACTTTCAGGTTATCCATATTAAAACAAGTTTGCTGAATTTTTACTTTGTGGGTAATTTTCAACATTTTAGATTTGACAAGTTTTATTCATATTGCTACTACAGTGATTGTTCATGCTCTTGAAAATGAAGCATCAACTCAGAATTCAACCGATAGTGCATCAGTTTCATAGCTATCTTTTAGATAGCAATCTGGTTGGTCCGGTACATGTGGTCAAAAGTCGATGGATGGCATTTTCAAGATGTTTAAGTCACAAAACAAAGGTAATAGCATTTTAATGTGGTGGATAATAATCAAATATTCAAATTCATGTTGAATGTATGGAAACATTGTTACTTTGGTGGATGTTGGGGTCATTTTGTAGATGTAAATGATTTGGTAGTAGCTTGTGAGTACTACTTAATGGTGGTAGATATATGTGATAATACATTTAAATTTGTTTGTTTATAGGACATGTCTATTACTGTTATACTGCAATGGCAATCTATTATGGCGTTCCAGATCATGTTTGGATGTCATACAGACTGTTGCTGTATTCTCTATATAGGAAGTAATAATATGCACATGTGATGTAATGATCCCTTCCTTTTAAACCTATGCGGGGATCAACATAATCTCACTCGGTGAGTAGAAATTGTAGGCTCCTATATATTAGCTTTATAATGGTGACATGTACATGCGTCAAAATAAAATATCTTTTCATTGTAGGTAAACTGGCGTTTTCTATTATGATCTCTGAATTAAGAAGAAGTAAAGGTAGATTCATGCTCTCATATTGTATATTGTGGGTTCTTCTACTATTGGTTTTGCAACAACTCTTATTATCATCCAATTATTTGGACATCTTTGATGTCTGTATCATATATGTTTTTGTTTAAGTTCTGTACTCCATTATCACTTATAGCCACATGTTTTGAAGAGTTCTTGTTTTATAAATTGAACTATCTTATTCTCTAACTTCTCTTGTTCTCTCTTGTGATATTGATGTGTCATTACCTGTCTCAAGTAGTTTAATGATGGCGTAGTTTTTTTCTGTTGGAAGTAATGAACAAAATTCTGAGACTAGTTTCTTTGATTTGACTTGAGTCCTAATATTTATCGACAAGCATAAACAACTAGATATTCAGTAACAATGTGTGTATTCTGTTTAATTTGGTATTTAAGTAGGGGGTTGAAGGCATACCTAATTAAATTGAGCTTCAATTTAAAAGGAAAGAGTGAGAGTGAGAGCAAGTTGTTGAGATTCATATTGTTATTTGAGTTGGGTGTTTAGGCGATATACTAGTTTAATTTATACACTGTTGTTAATACAGTGATAGCTACTATTTTAAAGTTGGAGAAAACATTTATTATTAGGTTCTTTGTGAATCAATAACATATGTGCTACTGCTACCCCCCTCGGCCACAAGAAAAGGGTAAATTAAAGAAATTATAAAGTAAGTGGAAGGAAAAGTAGATAAGAACATGTCTATATTTGTTTTGTAGAAGAAATATAGAATACAATGGTTTTTACATATAAAAAAAATGATGTTTAAAGTTGTGAAAGTTGTTAGTATGGATATGTTTGTATCTGCGTTAGAATGAATATATGCTTATTAGTTATTATTATGTTGGGTGGTTTGGAACAGGGGAAACTTAGTTCTGTCATTGTTACCAACTTCTGATCTACGTATATCATTTCTTGGGGATGATGGGGATGCAGAGAGAATATCAATCTTGAGAAACACAGCAGATTGTTCCTCTGTTGTGATCGAAGGAATCCCAGCAGATACCTCTGGTCGATCTTTTGTTGTTAGGTCCCCACGCCTTTCTACTTCTGGTGCTCTGAAAAATCCAAACTCCTCGGTGATGAATTGCTTGAAAACAAGCTTCCAGAATCATCATCATCTGGAATTTGTTTGTTCCCATCAGTCTTAAGTGGGAACATGAACATGCAAATTCCATCTATAATCTCAGCAACACATCCTCTTCCTAATACTAATACTAATACTACACCATCATCATCATCATCGTCTATAGTGCTCAAAACCCAACATCTCCAACTCAATAATTTCATTAAACTTCCGGCTAATCCCGAATTTCCACATACAAGCATCAGAGTTATCGATTCTGTTAACGGATTAATATGCTCTTCTTACAGTGATTCCATCATTCAGATTAGGTTCTTGTGTTATCTCTTTGGTAGAGTTTCATGGGAAAGTTTTAGTATAAAAATGGTTGGATTTAGATTTGGATTTGAATTTAGTTGGATCTGAACCGATTCAGTTGAAAGTTGCAGCCTCGTGTATATTTCCAATTTTAGCCCCACTTGTTGTTCAGATTGTCAATCACAGTTCTCGTAAAATTTGTTAAATATCTGCTCCTGCCGACTATGATTTTTTTTTATAATTTCCTACCAAGAACATTAAAAGACATGAAGAAAAGAACAAGTGGTTGATGTTAAATATCCTGAATCACTGCATGCCCTTCTTCTTTCTTGTGTTTCAGGTTGTTTTCTCACTACCACAGATGCTGATGGTGGACTCCAGGTTAGAAAATTTCCTTTAGTCAAGGCTTTTTTTTTTCCAAAATATTTTTATTATATCAAATATATCATATTTAAATGATTACTACAAATTTTTCCATGGTTGAGGTTCAACAAGGAAGGAAATCTTCTTGTTGTTGCTACTGCTGACAATGGGATCAAGATTCTTGCAAATGCTTCTGGTTTGAGGTCTATAAGGTCAACTAAAGCCTCGCCTTTTGAAGGATCAAAGTCTTGAGTTGAACCAACTACAATTGTTATTCCCTGAATATAGCTTTCTTTTTTCTTTTCGTCCCTACAGTTTCCTTTTTGCATATTTGGCCCCTTCTCCAACAAAAATGACTATTTTCGGTCCAAAGTGGCAAAAATCAGCTATACTCAAGGACCAAAACCTTTACAAGAACCTCAAAAATAAGGACCAAAATTGAAACACAACTTTTTATTACAAGGGTAAACATGTCATTTTCTAATTCAACTTTTTTCCTTTATGTAAATGTAATAATATATTTTGCCCTCCCTGAAACAAACCTCAACAAGATGAAGATTGGAAGCACGACCGAGGACGAAAGCAAACTCACAATTGTCTTGTCTCATGCTTTTTCTCAAAAGCTTCTTTAATGCTCACAATCTGTCGAAGGAAATTGCAATGTACGATGCTAATCAATTTTTATAGCATGCTCACAACCTGTTCAAAGTGGAATTCCTTTAAAAAATCATGATATTTGGACCTTGAACAAAAAAATTGAGAAGAAACTAGCTAAGATGTTGACTGTAGATTTACTTGGTGCATAGTGATTCTTAATTATATATTCCTTAAATTGTCTTTTGCTATTTTTCTTTTTACAAGATTGGTATGTTTTTATTTAACAATTTAAGGGCATATTTTGTATTTTGTGGTTGTGTACAGGTATGGGGAATGCCAAAATTGTGGGTTGGATTTCTGAAATGCATTTCACAAACACAACCACATTCTTTTCGTGTTTTATTAAAAGTAAGTATGTCCCCTTGCACTACACCATTTTACGACGCGTAAACCACGACACTCATTGGTTTATGTTACACAAAAGAGAGTGACATTAAAAAAGTGTCATCTCTTCAAAAAATTTAAGGATTTAGGTCACGCATTATTGCGTGCCCTTAAATTAGTGTCTCATGTAAAAAAATTAAAAACACAAAGGGCACTTTATCTAAAATGTGCGTCCTCTGTGAATGTCGTTTGATATTTTTTTTAAGAAACGAGCGTCTCTCTTCTTAGAGGGAAAATGAAATCCCTAAAAATTTTAAACCCCGCTTTCTTCTCCTACATTCGTTTCAATCTGTTCTCTAATATCTCCTCTCCTTCGTCTCCGCCCCTCACCCACCTCCACTACCTCCAACCCACACCGACTCTTTAGGCCTGCACGACGACGATGTACCGGCCTTATCGACCAACACTTCATCCACCATCACCATTTGCAGCTCTCTCACCCCATCCTCACTGTTAAACCTTGCAAAATCCTTATATAACATTCCGACGACAATCAGATTTCGCCGCTCCGTGACTGTCGACAGGAGCAAAAACTTAATTTCGAGTCAATGGCCTTTGTGTATATTCTGGTACAGAATTCGGAGGAGGAGGTACGAATGGCTTTGGACCAACATCCTAGAGATGCAACTGATATCCTTTACATTCTTAAGGCCGAACAAGTGCCTCTCGATCTCATTTCACCATTTATAGTTCCATTACAGAGTTCATAACTATGAACATGTTCTGAACAACAATCAGTGTGCTTTATTTCATGGCTGCTAGCCCTAACCCTAACCCTAGCCCCCATATTCTAATTTCATTGATATGTATATATATAATATATTCCTTATTAGATCTGTTTGATGCTAGGGTTTATTCATTGGGAGGTCTAGTGGAATCAAGAGCTCCCAGTGTAGCTTCTTAGTGAGAAACAAGTTGAAATTTCCTAGACAAAGAGTTCAAGCCTCTCAAAAACCTCGTAAATCAGGGAAAAATGAAGGAGCACTTGGTGCCACATGTCGTGCTGAACAGATCCTGATAGCAAACAGAGGGGAAATTGCAGTGAGAGTGATCAGAACTGCTCATGAGATGGGGATTCCCTGTGTTGCTGTCTACTCCACCATTGATAAGGATGCACTTCATGTGAAACTAGCGGATGAGTCAGTTTGCATAGGGGATGCTCCCAGTAGTCAATCGTAAGTCAACCTAACCTATCTTTATTCTTTCTCACATTGAAAAATTGGAAACTTTAATTCTCGATTTTTATTGATCAGGTACTTGTTGATACCCAATGTCCTTTCTGTTGCTATCAGTCATGGATGTACAATGTTACATCCTGGTTATAGTTTCTTTGCTGAGAATGCTGTTTTTGTTGAGATGTGGAGGACATGGAATCAACATCATTGACCGAAATGTAAGTAACTTATTATTACTAGACAAAATTGCAAAAATAGTCCCTGTGGTCTTTTTGGCCATGTTTGTATGTAGATTTGGTCCCTCGTAAAATTCAAATGACTAAATTACCCTTATTAGATTTATTTTCCATTTTCTTTTTTTATAAGTATTTATATATTAATAAAGATACTCTCTCTCTCTCTCTCTCTCTCTCTCTCTCTCTCAATAAAGAAACGAGTTAGGCCCTTATCCACCCAAAGCTTTATCATCTCCTTCACTCTCTTGAGAGTCACTGCCATCGCCATCCTTGTTCTTGATTTCAACCTACAAATCAGAAAGCAAGGTAGAGAGAAACCCCATGATAGCATCATTTGCAGTTAAAAGATACCCCGTCAGAGCACCAGAACAAAAGGAAACAATAAAAGCCTTCCCTACTACATTTCTTGCTTCAAGAATCACACCCCAAAAGTCCTTATAATTCAACCTCCATTGTTATGATGGAGTACAAATGTTCGGTAAAAATGTAGAAATGTAGAGGCGTTGATGATACGTACTGTTCTTATCCAAATTTTCCGGTTGTGGCACCTTTTACTATGTGTTTTACAAGAAAACCCATTTGATGAAATCGAAATTGGTTTCCGACCATAAGAATCTGTTAATTTAAGCACCATTGGAACCACATCGCCATCCTCACCATCATCCTCGTTTGATAGATTAACAACACGGAGACCAGATATGAATGAAATATTCGGTGGGATAGATCAAACAAAGTTGTATTCTTGAAACATATCCAACTGATTAGCCAGCAACGGAAATCTCATAATTCCTCTGCTCTATTTTCTACCCAACCTCATTCCTTGATTTTATTGTTGATTCGACTTGTCTATGAATCTCCTCAAAATCTCATTTGAAGTTGTAATGAGAATGATACCAATGGTACAGGAAATGATATTTGTGTTTGAATTGAAAACAAACCCAAAATTAGAGTTGTTTGATATAAGGAATAAGCACTATTGTCTATGAATTGCATTTGATATCCTTTGAACACACGGCTTACTTTGGCAATATATCGAACACTTGATAGGCATGTTTGAGGTAAGAAGAGGAAGATCCATCAGATCACGGTGAGAAAGAAGACTAACCAAGCTATTTTTTTCTTCGTGTTTTGTCAAATTCGGAATCGATTAAAATAAAGAACAAAGGAAAACCGGGATCTACCGGTTGACTAACTTGCACCAAGTGCAGAAATGGAAAGATAATAGAAATTGGGTATCGTGATGAAACACAGACATCAATAAAGCATTAAACCAACACAGATTGAGGGAGAAGATGTCACTTCTAAAACGAGTCTTGGATGAAAAGAGGAAGAAGATGTCACTTTCAGTTGCTGAGGAGAAGCCGAGCGGCCACGTCCTTGGATGCCAATGAGACTCTACTGATGAGTGAATTATCAGCAAACATTTGTTGAATATGTTGTTTGTCGATGATAGAACATGAGAATTGTCGAAGAAGATGTGAATTTTCCTTTTTGATTTTGAGATGCAGGTGCTTTGAGTGGACGAAAGTAAAATAAAGAAACTTGAGAGATGGGTTCATAATTTTTACAAATAAAACTTTATATTAAATAGAAAAAAACATAGAAAATGTATCAGAAAGGTATTTTTGTCTTTTTAATTTTACGAGGGACCAAAACCACGAACAAAGTAGCTAAAAATGACCGTCAATCCAAAAGAGTCGAGGTTTGGACCAAACCTCAGAAAAAATACATACCACAGGGACCATTTTTGCAGTTTTGTCTTCTTACTATTACTATTATCTAGATTATTTAATATTACTATTATCTAGATTATTTAATATGCTATAATCTAAACACCATTTTTGAACATCATTTAAGGACCAACATATAATTTTCTATTATTACTATTACTATTATCTAAATTATTTAATATCTTTTTCTGTTGAAATGATTAAGTAAACCTATCACCTACTTAACCAAAAAAAGAAAAAAAAAACCTTTTACATGTTCATACATTTCATGTTGCAGGCGTTTGTTTGTTGGTTTAATATATATCAAACATGATTTTTATCAAGAGAGGTGACAGGAATCAGAGATGTTGCTGCAATCAGAGACGTCAGCAACAGGGGGGGGGGGGGGGAATGGCTTCAGAAATATAGATCGCACTGAAAAGACAAGTAATTGTACACATAAGTTCTTATTTACATTTACATGCCTAAAAAGAATCTATAAATCTTCATCTAATAATATATATATATATATATATATATATATATATATATATATATATATATATATATATATATATATATATATATATGCAGATAGCTCTTCCCCATGAGTACGTTTACATATAATTACATATATCCTAATCCCAATAACGATTTTACCTAAATGCCCCTCCATGTTATTTCCTCAGTAATGTAGGATGTTATATTGTTTTTTTCGTGACTCTCTAACATGACTTTGACTAGCTTTGGAAGGATCTTTATGGAGTGATGGACCTGGAGTAATAGGGGCTAAAGACGGAAATTCTGATGGAGATGAAATGGAAAAGAATAGTTCAGCCATCAAGGAGAAGTATCTAACAAAATCAATTCAAGAACATGACCTTTCTGACCGTGAATGTTGCAGTCGAAGTTATCGCATTCTACCAAAAAACATATGATTTAATATTTATAGATCAAAACACTTTTTTCTTAAAATAAAAAATATATAAATTTGACAGTGTGTGTTGCTTGATACAGTACCCAATTCCTTCAGCAAGCCAAGGAACAAAGATCGGTTACTCCAGAGACTCAGATCAGATGTGTCGCCAAGAACCTCGTGTTCTTTTGTCTCAAGAAGAGCCCTTTAATGTTTAAATTGATGTTTTTGCCCTTATGGATTTGTAGGTATTTGATTCCAGAGCTTGGACCATGTTCTCTTATGATAACATATTCTGCACATAAAGATTTGAGTGTAAAATTCCAGAGTCATCGTAGCAGGTATAAGACAATATTATATCTTTCCGACTTGATTTATTTTTATGACGGTTTTGCCCCTAACATAATAAGCTTTATATTTATTCAGGGACTATACAAATCCTATGCTTCCTGTTGCATCTTCAGCAATAGATGCTACTGGTCAGGTAAAATCATTATTCTTTATAACAGCTTGAAGGATTGTTTTGTAAAATTACTCAACTTTTTGTTGTATTTTATATTTATACTTGTATTATGCTTACTAGTTTGTTACTTTTGCAATTAAGTTTAGGTTTAGATGGAAAGAAGAATGAATCTGAGAGTAATGTTCTTCTTGCTTCTATTGAAAACATGCAGTATGCAGTCACCTTAGATGTTTTACACATGGTATATATGCAAATTTTTGTTTTTTCATATTTGACCATGTGCTCATTTTTAATCTCTCTTTCTCTCACATTGTTGTAAACATGTATTTTCTGCTTTTGGGCCTGTTTTAAAGATAATAATGTTTGACAAAAATGGTGGAGTTCAAGCTCTAATTCAATACCCTGGTGAGGGTTAATTATTTTTTTTTATAACAGGTGTTGAGAAGCTTATTATATACAATATAATTTTGTAAAATGTTAAAAAAATTATAAATTTCAGATGTTCAGACAGCTATTGTAGCCAAGTGACAATGGATTTTTTATATTTGTATTTTATAACAAACACTCTAAAGTAAAAGTAGCTCATGCCTTATCCCTTATCTAGGAGTTATGGATTTTTTATATTTGTATTTTATAACAAACACTTTTTCTCCTGGAATACATAATTTTCAGATTTTTGGCAACATTGTTGATCCTAGACAACACTTATTTTGTGGTTAAGTTTTTTTGCAGGCAATATAGATACTGTGAGCAAGTTCATAGATTTAGAGTCCTTGAGTCGTGTTACTAAGGAAGAGTGGAGACAAGTCAGGCACACATTTAAAAAAAATCAACACAAATATTGTTTACAGTGAGGCACACATTGGGTTATTAGAACTATTAGTTTGTAAATTTATGTTACAACTTCTTTTGATTTGTTTTATCTTTCCATTGAACGATTATTTGTATGACATTAAATTTTATATAATGGATTGTATTTTTTGTATATGATATTTTATTTTCTATTATTTGAAAATTAGTAAATCTATAAATAATATTTTTTTAAACATTTAAAATTACGATACGTATAAAGGTGTCATCTACATTTATGACATGGCCTTTCTTGACAGGGGCTTTAATGATACGCAATGCGAGTCGTAAGGTTACGACACGCAAATGCATGTCGTCTTCATTTATTATAGGGTCTTCCTTGATACACATTGAGCGTCGTAAATGAGCGTCGTAAATGCATGTCGTAAATGTGCTTCGTCTATAGACGACGCACAAAAGCGTGTCGTATCTCGTTATGACAGGGCCTTCTTTGACACGCATTTGCGCGTCGTCTGAGCGTTTTATGACACGCATTGTGCATCGTAAAATGCTGTTTCTCTAGTATTGTTGGTCACTTTTACTTTCATATTGTGTATTTGATTCTTTTTGGTTTATATTAATTTAACTTAAGTAGTATAATATAATAGAATAGAAAGTCTTGCTTTTTTTTGGGAAGTAGCACTATTTCATATTAACTTTTATAATCTACATGTGAATTAAATTTTAATATTTTATACAGGTATGGGCTGTATTGAAGCTTGGATTCTTGGAAAAAGGTATGTTACTACATGTGTATTAAATTTTAATATTTTATAACATAGATTGATGATGCTTGAAGCCTTTCTGAATACTAATGTGTTGATGATGAAAACATGTATCATGTGGAAACAGAAGCATAACAATAAGAAGTAGAAACAAGAAGGTGTTCCTTAATAGCAATGTAGTATTAGGTTAGATAGTTAGGGAAAACCTCTTAATAACAATGTACAATCGTATCCCCTTAATACCAATGTATTACAATTTTTTGACTTGATGTTATGGACGAAATTGATTGTTTTGGTATATATTTGTTTCCATATTTTTATATTATGCGTAAATGAGTATCGTAAAGATGCGTCGTAAATATATATCGTAAATGGTTGTTGAAGTTATGACACGCAAATGCGTGTTATCTTCATTTATGACAGGGGCTTTAATGATACGCAATGCGTCTCCTAAACGTGCGTCTTAAGGTTACGACACGCAAATGTGTGTCGTATTCCTTTATGACAGGGGCTTCCTTGATACGAATTGCGCATCGTAAATGAGCGTCGTAAATGTGTGTCATAAATGGGCGTCGTAAATGCGCGGCGTCTATAGACGATGCACAAAAGCGTGTCGTCTCTCGTTATGACAGGGCCTTCCTTGACACGCATTTGCGCATACAAATTTACAAACCATATGCTCTTTGCCAGGAATAATAAAACCTTCCGGTTGTTTCATGTAAACTTCCTCGTCAAGGTCACCATTTAAAAATGATGTTTTCAAATCCATTTGGTGACTAACCAGATTCTGGATACTTGCCAAGGCAATCATCAATCTAATAGTAGAAATACGTGCAACCGGAGCATACATATCAAAATAGTCAACACCGGGTTTTTGTCTAAAACCTTGAATGACTAACCGGGCTTTGAATCTATCAATAGTCCCATTAACATTCATTTTCTTTTTGAAAATCCATTTGCAACCAAGTGGCTTAGAACCTGGAGGCAAATCAGAAAACACCCATGTGTTGTTCTCAAGAATTGATGACATTTCATCATCAATTGCTTCCTTCCAAAAGGAACTATCACGAGACTCCATGGCCTCTTGATATGTCTTAGGATCATATTCAATGCTACAACAATAAGAGTATTCAAGATTAATTTCATTCCTTGAACCTTCTACCAAATACAGTTGGAAGTCGGATCCGAAATTTTACGCAATTTGGCCTCTTTTGCTCCTACGAAGCTCTTGTGGTTCTTGCACATTACCACATCTTGTGTTTATGAAATTTTCTCTTTATGAGCACCAAAATTCAGATCCTTAGGCCTTTGAATCGATGAAAAACGCATCTCATCAAAAATTGCATCCCGTGATTCGATAACAATGTTAATCGAAACCGAATCATTAGGTTCTATTACATAAACCTATATGCCTTGGAATGTTCAACATATCCAATGAATATACAATCAATTCCACGTTCTCCCAAAAATTTCTTTTTGGGCTTGGTGAGTTTTACCACTGCCCAACATCCCCAAACCCGAAAATAACTTAGATTTAGCTTTTTCTTGAACCAAAGTTCATCTGGGACTGTTTTGTTCCTTTTATTTGGAACCCTGTTTAATAAATAGCAGGCCGTTAACATGGCCTCTCCCCAGAATCCTTCACTCAATCCCGAGTATGAGAACATCGGGTTTACCATTTCCTTTAAAACTCGATTTTTGCGTTCAACAATACCATTCTGTTGGGGTGTGTAAGGTGCAGTGGTCCCATGAATGATGCCCACTTACTGGAAGTATATGGGATCCATATATTCACCTCCCCTATCAGTCCTCAGACATTTAACCGGAATGCCCAATTGAAATTTAACCTCGGTTTTGTATATTTTTAATTTCTCTAAGGCTTCATCCTTAGAATGTAACAAATACACATAGCAAAATGAAGTGCAGTCATCAATGTTGGGTTATATTTTTGTGGCTTATGTTGGGCTCATAACGTTCCTGTTCTTGGGCTTAGAATGTTAGTATGTTAATGGGCCTATATATGTTCACGGTTGGCTAAACCGTGAACACTTAGTGTTTACGGTCTTGATTGTTTGGGCTTTTGTGGCATTGTACTGATATATATATATATATATATATATATATATATATATATATATATATATATATATATATATATATATATTCAGCCGTGAACTTGTTAGTGGTTCTTCATTTGTTTTGTTCACGGCTGGAGTTAGAGCTTTGGTGTACCATACGATTTATTGTTAATAGAATCGTGTGCATTGAAAGTTATTTTTTTGTTCTTGAATCTCTATTTGGTTTACATTCGGCATTCTCTAAATATATTGATTGATATTATATAAGATCCATAGTTTTGGGACTTAGAAGTGGTATCAGAGTTTTAACGAGTATCAATCGCATTCAAGGACTTTGGAAAAAAATTTAGCTGTTTTTGGGATTATTGACTTATTCATAAAAATTATAATCTTAAAAAACTTAGATTTTTATTGATTATTATTCTTGTGTTCTTCCTGTGTTCTTCGTGAATTTAGTTGTGGTATTTTTCGTGTTCATCGAAAGTTCAAATATATCCTTCTAATTTATCGGGATTAGACTTGAACTGATATATCTAATTCGCAAATATTAAGGGAGTTGGATAAAATTTCAAAACAACAAATTAAGGTTTATGGAGGCTATTTGGTCAAATTTGGAGTTTACGGTTAAAGATTAGCGTAAAGGGTTTACAGAATTTATTTGGTCAAAATTTGAAGTTTACGGTCAACGATTAGGGTTTACGGAATTCATTTGGTCAAAATTTGGAGTTTACGGTCAACCATTAGCGTTTACGGAGGTTATTTGGTCAAAGTTCAAGTTTACGGTCAACGCTAAGCTTAAAGGGTTTTCGGATACGTTTATGGTCAATCTTTGATTATTTTTGGACGTTTTCGTAGAAACTCATTTAAAATGGAATACACCAGTTCAATGCATCAAGAGTTAGACTCTATTATGGGGACTACCACTCGTATTCCTTGACTTTTGTCGGCTGATGGTTTCCGGAATGGAAATTCAGAATTGAGAAATACATTAAGATGAAGGATACCAAAATATGGAGGAGCATTTTAAGAGGTCCAGTTAGGATTACCACTACCTTAAGTGTTGAGGATCCGACCGTTATTGATAAGAAGATAGAAAACTACACGGATGTAAATTGTGAAAAGGTTGAAGAACATGACAGAGCTCTTGCCACTCTTACGATGGCCCTATCTCCTGATATTGCCCAAGGCTTTAGGCAATATCAGTCTGCAAAGGATCTCTGGGAGGCCTTAATCGAGGTTTGTGAAGGGAATGAGGACATGAGACAAAGTAGACAGGACCTGCTCCGACAAAAGTTCAACATGTTTAATCATGTTTTGGGGGAGTCTCTTGAGGCTCAATTGCAAAGATGTGTTACTCTCACCACAGAGATGAGAACGGCTGGGATAAGTCTACCACGCACTAAGATCAACAACAAGTTGCTGAAATCTCTTCCACGCAGTTGGGATATTAATGTAGCCGTAATCAAGAAGACTAAGGATCAGAGCAAGCTTAGCCTTGCTGAAGTAATGGCTATAA